GAAGAAGAAACGTTTTGCACGTTCAACCATCATTTTCTAGCTTGGGTTCTAGAAATACATTGTCATGTTTTGCATATAAATAGTGCTCGCGGTTGAATCTCGCCTTGAAGAAATTGCCCACGTGCACACTCTCCTTGAAGAACCTTGAGAGAGCCATTCCATTTAATTGTAGGACATGTACAACGAACTCGTGACCTTGCACTGGAAAGGCGCGGAACTGCACCCCCAGGGAGCCTGCAGCTTCCCACGGTGCAGCTTCTGCCGCGCGCTGGGCCCGCCCTCTCTGTCAGCGTAGCCTTCTCTGCAGGGTCGTGGCTCTGCCTCTCTCTTCACAGCATCCCGTTCCCGCTCCCTCCCTCTCTCTCTCCTGCTCCCGCTCCCGCCGCCGTGCCTCGCTGCCCCCTTAGCCGACCCTGCGGCCTGCCCCGCCCAGCCTCCATTGTGACAGTGACCTGGAAACACAGTCTTTGCCACGGCCCGCCCTTGCTTTCCCCCCCCCCTCGGGCAGGTGCGCGCTCGCGCCTCGTCATTAGCATAAGCCCCACGCATCCCTCGCGCCGCCCCGCCCCGCTGGGAGGGGCTCCCAGCCTGGCTCTTTCCGGCCCCGCCCCATTCGTTCCGTCACCTGCTACCTTCCTCATTGTCTCGTCTCACCACTTCTCGCACTGTTCCCACCTGTGCGTCTTATCCGTATTTCGCTCCGTCTCGCCGTGTTTCTCTCCGTCTCCTCTCTTCCGTTGCTCCGTTCCGTTTTTACCTCCTAGAATGCGACCTGAACCTCACATTGTTTCGGCCCACTTCATCTCGAGTGTACGAACCACAATTGCGCTCTTGATTCACCATTTGCGTTTCACCATCACCTCCTCCTTTTGTGTTCACTTCAAGTATGTTTTGTGTCTCATCTCGCTCTCTGTTTACTCCAACTTCCTCCAATGTGCCACCTCCAACACGAATGTTATGTTCAGATGTTTTTCCGATTTTGCCCGTTAATTTTAATTTGCCTTTTTCTCTTCGTGTATGGTGTCCTTCCTCTTGAGTCTGGATTGATGACCATTGCACACCTTGATGCCAGCCGATATTGTCTGTTATCTGCAGCTTGGTTCGATCTTTCTGGCGCCTCTAGGCATCACTCTTCCCCCAGCTGCGTAACTATTCACCTCGTTCATCTCATGACCCCCGCTGAACGTGCCCCCTCCCCCGTGCGTCGTCCCCCCTCCCCGCATTGACGAGGAAGTCCGGGAGTGATTGTGGGTTCAGTTGGCGCGCTTGATTAACCGCGTTCTTTTCGCGGGCCGCGGTATGTAGGTCCCCGCCCGGCGCGCCTGGGCGCCTCCAGCTTCCAATGGGCGACCGGGCGGTAAAGGTGCGCCCCCTGCACTTTTCGGTGCACGTGCCCACGGCGAGTGACGGCAAATTTTAGTAAAACATCGATCCTTCGATACATCACCGAAAGGTTTCCGACGTCGATGAAAACATGGATGTTTAAAAATCTATGTTTTAAATATGATGAAACATTTCGAAGTAAAATGTCATGGTTCTAATGTGATACATAATACGTCAATGTTAATTAAATGTGTATTCTGCCTTAAATTTGACTGTCATCTTAATTTACTAATGAATTGTCTACGTAGTGAAGGTTTAAATTGCAGTTAAATGATTTTACCACGTACAAAATAATGAACAAAGGTAACAACACTGGAGAAAACGAGCGAATAGCAAACGGTTTCGTTCCGCCTGGAGATCGACAGCAGTGACAGTGGTCAAAGGCTGTTGATTGCGGCAATCCTCTAATAAAATAGATACTGAAATTTTATTTATATCATGAAATTTTTTTGACATCAATGCTTTTGTCAAATAAATGGATCTGAACGAAACATCGAAAGCAAAACATTGATATTATATTTTCGATGTTTCTGTTCGAGTATGTTTTAAAAGCATCGATATGTTTTTGCCTTCCCTACCCACGGCCCCGAGAAGCGGTGATGGGAGCGAAGAATTTGCTAGCTTAAATTTCTAAGATGTTAATTCTGTAATGTGTATGCAAACACACATGTTTGAAAGGTTTTTTTAAAAAAGTTGTATTATAACTTCAGTATTTTGCATTACATTGTATTGTTTTGTGATCAAAATGTTTCTTTAAAAGTGAATCACATTTAGATCTTTCAAAATACTAATATTTCGTAACATAATTAAAATAATAATTGAATGAACCCATAATTGTATAGCCCGATTAATTAGTAAATTAATTAAACTAAAATAAAATTTCCACATCTTGGACTTTTATTTAAAGAAAAATTTCATCCGGTTTTTTTGTTTGAGATAAATAGAGTTAAGGTGGTTTAAAAACAGTCAAACGATGAAAAGCTGTTCGGCGGGCACAAGGCACCATTTCATAATGGAAGATAATCATCTACTCGCAGAGTTAGGACAACTATTTTATGGTCTCATCAGTGTCATTAACTTTTATGAACACATAATGTAATGGCTGATTCTTCGTTTTATTTTTGCGATGTTATCTATACATTATGTGTGCGGTGAATGTGATGTAAATGAATTAGATGTGCGGGGAGGAGTTAAATCAGTATTTTCCATCATGTTGCTTATTATTCCATAGGAGTTGTTTCAAAATGTTGGGAGAAATCGTGATTCGACATTCATCACGCTAAAGGATTTATAGCTCTTGTCGTAATTTGAAATGCGTCCCTCTAATAGACCTGTGATGAACTCTCCAAATCCCGGCTCGAATGTGGACATTTTGGGACTTCATCCGCGCGGCAACTAACGGGAAGGCCGAAACATGTCGACTGGACGCTAACCGTTTGCTAATCAATGGACTTTCTGTCCCAGTTAATAGGTTTCTCTTATACGCCATCGCATTACGTAAGGAAGAGGAGATTTCAACAGGTTCTGGCTGCTGACTGTGCCTAAACGAATTAGCGTCCATATGTGAAATTGAAAGTCGATCCGCTCGAGTCTACAATTCGTGGAGGATTTGCGCGCCGCGGTCCAGAATTTCACGCGCGCGTTGAGCGGCGGTTGAGCGCGTGCCGGCCGCTGCCTGCGCTGGTGACGATGCTGCCGCATCTGTGGCGACGGTAGTCGCGTCCCTCGCCCTCCCCCGCAAATTCGCTTTGAGGAGCGTGTCTCCGATACATGCTCGCTTGTGCGAGAGGTTGCGCGCGTATGCTCACGCTTCGGCACGCCGCCGCCGCCGCTCCCGCCCCCGCCGCCTACTCCCGCCGCTGCCGTTCGGCCATGCGTCAATGGCGAGCGGCGTAATCATTGCGACTAATCCGGACGTACTAGTGGCGCGACGTACAGCGTCGCCGCCCACCGCTCCGCCCCCCGCCCACGCGCTCTCCCTCGCCGAGCTACCGACCTCGTGTAATCCGCCGCCGCTAAATGTAGAATTTACTCCATAAATTAGTGTGAACCAATGAGCACATCCCTCATAGAGGTAAGCTGCCGGTGTCTAGACGCGGATTATATTATATTTGGCTCGCGCCAGCCCAGGCAACGTAGCCGACCAGGAGCGGGTTCGAGCCCCACGACACAGTAGGCCGCCCGGACCTCCGACGGCCGGCCAGCCCCTCCCTCTAATCAACGCAAGGAAATTGCGTTTAGTTTGAAGGCACATCAGAGCAATAGCAATACATCACAAGATACCGACTCATAATGGAATGCAATTAAAGCAATGGACTAGTCAATGCGACCCTCTCTGTAGCCCCCTCCTCCTCATCTTGTGACCCCTGTCCCGTGTATGATGGAGGGTAGGTGTCTCATTATCAGGGTGGCTAGTTGAATGGCCAAGTCATGTAGGCCCGCCTAGGTTATTGCTATTGGAGCTGTCTCTGTGTGCGTGTGTGTGTTATTAGGTAGCTAGGAGTATTTTGAGATGTATGTGTATTCTTCAGTGAACCTGCGATGATTCAGACAAGAAATCTGTGAATTTGCGAAGATCATAGAGAGATTGGGCCACTTTTTATATATTTCAAAACATCCGAAATCACATCTTTCCGGTGGAAATTTAACTCTTTTCTTTTCTTCATTTTGTTCGCTCTATCGAACGCTGAACCTTGAGTAGGTCGATATGTTGGGAGTGGGAATGCTGCGCCCTCATCTTTTGAAGGCGAAATCGCTAATGGATTGTGGAATCCGACTGGTGTAATTCCAGGCGTGTACTAACAGAGATACCTAATTAACACAGACATTAGAAATCGTCTTGCACTTTGCGTGGAAAAAGGATTCGTAACTTTTCCTCCTTAACAGGGAAGTTTGGAGGCAAAGAGGTGCACGCTTTGCATTCGGGAATCTTCCCAGCCGTTCTCCGCCAGGTGCAAATGGCCTTTTGTTGATTGTGCGCGGCGACGGAGGCATTCGATTCGCTTTCATCTCGTCGCGTGTCGCAACATCACCCGCACGGGCCGTTCGTGACGTACGTGACCGCTCCTCCCAGCGCCGTTCGTCCGGCGCGACTCGAAATTTCTCCCGGGACGTTTTTTTGCGGAATGCGATCAGGGTTGAAAGCGAGTCGTGAATCACCCCGCATGGCGTCATCGGCACGCAGGGAGCATTGGATGGGGGGGGCGGTCGTGATGGGGAGGGGGTGGCGCGTGGAGGGAGACGGTTGGGGGTGGCGGCGGCGCCGGAGGAGACGGTGGGAAGAATCAAACTGATCCTCCGGGTCGTCTCTTCGGGCTGGGGCTGACTTTCTTCCTCGGCGCGGCGGCAGCGGAGGCGGTGGGGGCGGCGGCGGCGGCGGTCCGCCCGAGGAGGGGAGGCCGGAGGAATAGCCTACTTTCTCCTCGCCGCATGGGGTTTCCATCCATCCGCGCGGCGGAGGCGGCCACCACACACGCCTGCGACTGCGCCGCGATTGGTGGATCCTCCGGAGGAGGGGGCTCTCCTCTTCGGAAAAGTCTATATAACCCCGTGGAGCTCGCTTCGGCAGGTGAAGCGTTTTTTACCTTGCAGCGCCGCTATATCGTGTTTGTGTATAGTGCGTCGCGCCGCTGCCAGCATGGGCGCCACCTAGAGGCCGCGGCGACGGAGAAGCACTTCGAGAGCGACCTGCCACCCGGAGCGCCGGCGCGGTGGATGGCGAGTCGGTGGCTGTAGACTGAGGGGGTGTCGTCGACGATAGCCTTGGTGGATAGACTTCGAAGACCAGTGTGTTCAGTGTGTAGCGGAAGACTCGGAGAAGAGGGAAGAGAGTGTTTTCTGTGTGATTTATTCCGGGCCGTCGGGCTTGTGGATTGATTGCTGCCCCGTGGATTTACTCTTCAGCCATGACATTTTATCAGGTGAGTTTTATTTTTCTTATTCTTATGTGTGTGTGTGTGATTGCGTGAGAATTTTCCTTTTCATTTTCCAACTTTTCTAGCATTTTTTAGAGGCGTTATTTTGAAAAGTGTGGGCTTGAATCATTATTCGTGGTAATAAGTTACTGCTTCAACTTTTCATCGGATTGCTATGTGTCATTCAAGCATAGGATTTATTCTAATAAGAACATACATTTTTCGTATTAACATTATCATCTGTATTCCTGGTTTATGGTTTTATGGTTTTTCTGCCTGTTTCAGTTCCCTCGTTCTATTGTTTTTGAAATTTATGTTTTCCACTGTGATTATTATACAACATAAATAGGAAGCATATTTGATGAAAGTTACTAACATAATGCATTAAAAGTATTAAATTAAATATTTTCACGAAATCTCTTCTTCTTAATTTGTAATGTTTAACTTCACTTTGCGTCCAACTTCGAGTAAAGGCGGGTGTTCCGCATCCTTGGCCTGGCCCTGTCGTGACGAAGAATGGGCCTGACATATTAACCTCGAACCCGTGCCTCTGGCTCTTTGCCATGGCTATTCGCATTCTCTGTTGCAAGTGTGTTGGTGTTTCGCTTGGAGGAGACTCGTGCAACGTGACCTCGTGACTTCGGATGGTGAAGCGGGCTACTATTAATATTGGCCTGTGCATTTCCTTGTACCTTAATACAGGAATGCGTGACGAACGAGGCTCCTTCGGAACTCGTACCTCCAATTCCAGCTGTAGTTTAACATGGAAGAATTATAAATATATAAAATAATTTGTAATTGAAACGTTAATAATAATATTGATAATTGGACAAAATATATCAAAAGGAAATAAAAGAAAAGAAACAAAATAGAAAAAAGTTATAATTTGACATGAATGAAAAATGATTGGATATTTATGTAACGTGTGCGATTCGTTTAGTTTCGATCGCAATTATCCCACATTGCATATTTTCAGAAGGGTTTCCTATGAAATACGGTTAATAATTTTGCTCTTTACTTTTTATGTATTTTACTATTCGGTATATTGATCCGCGATTTCTTTCATATGGTCTTGTCTTTCATTTAACTACCTTAATAGAAAATTATCATTTTCGATATAGAATCGTGGATATGTCTATTTTTTTATACTTTAAGAATATTATGAATAACAAAGTTTGAACGTACTCTAGGTTTAATTTTGCTTTAGTTTTTCCCTCTCTTTCTTATAACTGAGTGTTACGGCAATTGGTATTGCAGAAAATACGTCACTATAGTTTTTTCGAGCGATATTTCTGGCCAGGAAACCATTTGTAAAGAACAACTCTTGGTTAAAGATTTCCGGCGGAGATTTCGACGCACGTGTAAGTAGCGAACTCAACACCCGGCTTTTTTCCTCTCTTTTTTTTTCGGCCCGTGACTTCTCCCGGCGCGGAGGCGCTCCCGCGCTGCTACCCGCGCCGCCGGCGCCGCCGCCGCCGCGCAGCCATCCGTGCAGCCATCCGTTAGCCGATTGCGGAGACAAATGAGGCGCGTCGCCGCGCCGTAATGAGCGGCTGCGATTAATTGGGCGCACGCGCGGCCTTCCCGCTGGCCATTTTTTTATTTACGTAAGCGGCCGCGCATCGCCGCCGGCCTATCGTGGCCTATCAAGGTGAATTACAGCCGTGATGTAGTCGTGAATACGATGCGTTATAAATGTGTCGTCGCAGTAATACGATGAGGTAATATTAACAATAAAATGTATTTTATTCGGCAATTTGCAATCTTGAAGTCTTATAATTCATTTCAATATTTTATTTAGTTGGTACTCTCCTAGATACGAATAGAACAATATTAAATAATTCAATTTTCTTTTGCAACATTTACTTATTTGAATATTACTTGCCTGGTGCAAACTTTTGATCTAAAATTCTTACAAAAATGTGAAGTAATGCCCATTTAATTATTCGTCAGTACAATTACTATGAATTCCGATGAACGAATGCATTTAAATAACTGATTATATTTGAACACACGTTCTTGAAGTGCGAACTCTAGCGAATCCATAGAAAACCTAACACTACGAAGAATTTCGAGCGAAGTCTTGTTAGTCGTACGTTCCGAAACTGCTAGCCCGAACCATAAACTCAATTGTCGTGAACGCCATTTGCGACAAACCGGTGACAGCCGTTTACGACGCGAGTCATTTTACAGCGCACCTGCCGCGCCGCCACGCGCCGCGGGGCGCGTGCCGCGCGCCCGTGAGGCGTGCCCGCGCGCGTCCCGTCCGGCGTGGCGTCATCGCGCCGCGCCGTCAAAGGCGCGCTCGCTCGCACGCGGCTTCGTGCTGCTGGCGAGAACGAGAGGGAAACCGCTCGCCCGCCCGCTCGCCACAGCCGCGTCGGGGCGTTCGCCGCGCGCACGTGCGGTTAAAACGGTGGCCGCCCGGGCGGTCTCGCTTCTGGTGCGCGTCCTGTGCATTCCTCGCTGATTGTGCATTCACGGCGGACGTCTTTTTGGAACTGAAACCTAATAGCATGCACATTACCCTTCTGGAAGTAACTGACTCGTTTTTAATGACGGTTTCTACTAAATGTTTCACATTTTGCTTTGTTTCTTTTGTTTTATTTTGAGGAGCTCAGTTTTTCTTGCAATTGCTGATGTAAAATATGCAAGTTGCTGGTAGGTAAGAGGATGTAATGGATAGTAACTATTAGAAAGTGAATTACAGCTCTTATTGTAGCAATAATTGTTAATTCTTTATGGTTGTTTTCAACATTATGAAATTACGTGTTTTAACGTGTTTTGCGGAAGGCACAGCAATAAAAACTTATCAAATTATTCTATCACAAGAATTATTGAAATGGAACTAGATTATTTGTTGGAAAAGTTGTCTGTTTAGAATTTCAGGTTTCGCGATTTAGACAAATTATTTTGAAGATGTAATTTGCCGAATTACTGTTATTTATATTCTAAGGGTTGCTGTTAAAGAAAGTTTGTGATCAAAATATTTATTTATGTTAACACTTTTGAATTATGATTATTTGTTTCAATTAATGTAGAGAAAATATCACGAGACGATAATACCACTACCTCTCGAAGATTCTGTGCTGTTTGATAGTATAATTTTAAAGAATATTAAAAAAATATTCCGCACATCTCGGCCCAGATTTATACTGTTTTTTTGTTTTCATGTCACAGGAAAAAGTTTTTGGTCAATAAGGATGCAGTTAACGTGGCTTTCTCGTATGACATCTTGTGGTATCTCTTAGAATTATTTCGTTCATTAATGGGTTTTGCACTGCAGATTAGTTTCAAAAGAAAAAAAAAAGAACATACAGTAAGTAATATGAAGTTCTTACGTGTGGTATACTTCACGTTATTTTAAACTCCGACAGAATTGGAATCAACTTTGAAATAGTAAAATCAGATTTTCACAAATCTTCTAAAACTTGAATATTCTTTGTATTTTCTTCCGAGTTTGCGCATATCTGCTGTGTGGGAAGTGGAAAAAAGAGAGGCTGAGTTGTGTCATTTTCCTCTCCCGCTGCCCATCGCGTCCGGAAAGAATGCCGGAGACATTTCATCACAGCGCATTAGGCGGCTAAGGACCGCGGCGGCCTTAACCCAGAGGAGCATTGTAGAGGACCGACGTGCACGACGTGGGTCCTGTGTGTCCTTAAGTTAGGAGAGCCGCGACGGCAGCGTTGTCGACGGCGCTGAGGGCAGGCGAGAGGTAATCCAGCAGGTGTGGCGCAAACTGTCAGTATCGCAAGCGTCGTTCGACGTCGGTTGCAGCGGCTGCGAGTGGGAGGGATCAAGGATTGATGGCAAGAGGGCACGCCCTTCACACAATGCAGCGCCGCAGCATCCTCACCTCTGACATCCGACTCCGCAGTTGCAGTTGCCATTGAAACTTCCGCCCATGCGCTGACACCTCGCCATCGACATTTCCGCCTCTGCTGTTGTCGACACATTCCTCGCCTTCTACGTTTAACGCCCCTTGCCTGCCTCTTCCGTATCTTAACCGCCCACATCTCTGCCTCCACGACGTCCTACGACCGCGTCATCGCGGGTGTCACCGCCGCCTCAATGACATCGCGATTGCCATTGCGTACTGCCGTGGCACCGCGCCACACCGCCTCCGCAACCACGCTGCCTTCATGCTGCTAGCCGCGGCTTGCACATCTCCCGCCGCCTGTAACGCAAACGCCGTCGTCAACGCCGCCCGCCCTGCAGAGCACCGCACCGCTGCAGGTAGCGCCCCTCCCGCGCCTCACCACAAGTACCACGCATTGTGAGCATCCGCCGTTGTTTCTGGCGGATGAGCCGCACCTCCTCCCTGCTGCTTTGGCGCTTGACTCCCAAGTTCCCCCATCCCTGCAACGCCACGGCCCCCTAATCCGCGACGCGTCTCCGGGCCGCGGCTATCCCGTCGGGCGAGCGGAGATAACAGACAGCCCGACCCCAACCCGCCGCAGGACGCACCCGTGGGCCGGCCGTAAAGTCGACGGGCACGTTTCACGTTATCGCGCCCACGAACGTCTTGCCCGACCCGACCGTGACGGCGCCGCGGCGGTCGGCGGTGGGCGGCGCGGCGGCGGCGTGGCAGGCCAAAGGCGGACGTGCGCGGGGCGCGCGCGCTGCGCCTATGGCGGCACGCGACGTGGCCGAGCATGCGTGCGCGCCGCTCGTGTGCGTGTGTGTTTGTGTTGAGGAGTGAGTGAGAAGCGCGTCGAATGTTTCGCGAGCGGATGGGCACGAAATGCGTGTGGCGGCGCGGCGCGGCGGACGATGATGTTATCGTGCGCGCTGGATCTTGTTTACGGGACTGTCGATTGTGCTCAGACAGGTGTTGCTAAAGGCGTTGTGCGTTGGGATGGAGATGTGCCAGGGGAGGTCCCGCACACGCCAATTGTGGCGAGCAGCCGTGTGGCGAGTAGGCCTACATGCGAGTGGTTTTTCAAAATGGAAATTGTAATAATAAGATAAATGCGGCCTCTGAATCTTTCTTGTCGGTCTAGCGA